TTTTAAAAATATAATACAGGTTTTAATAAATTTACTAATGAATTAAATTACTATTGTTTTTTATGCTTACATGTAATGTATTTAAAAAATGTAATCATATCAATACTGTAATCTATAATTCTCTCTCCTTTTTTTTTAGCAAATTAGTCACTAAGAAACCGAAGAAGTCGATTCCCAGCGAGGAGCAGTCCAGCTGCAATGTCTGCTGTGCAGAATTGGATTTGAGCAGTGCCAAAAAGTGAGTAGGAAATTATCTCTAAGTGGGGCCAGTCTAAAGTAGTCTCTCGCTGCCTCTCTCCCCTTCTATAGCTATGTCACATGTTGCACGTGTGGCAAGCAGGTGTGTCGCGGCATCAAGTGCGCCAATTGGCTGCCCAAGGCAGCGCAATGGGTGTGCGAATTGTGCCACAGTTCGAAGCAGTCGCTGGAGCAGACTTCGTCCTGGGTGGCCGAGCAGATGTCCTTCAATCAGCAAAAGTTCGTCTATCCATTGCGAGCACGCAGCGAAATCTATATACCCATCAGCTCAGAACTCGCCGACAGCTCGATGCGTAAGTATAAAAAGCCAACAAAAAAGGCTAGAATTGATAGCTAAATTCAATCTACTTCACAGAGTTCGAGAGCGTCAGTCAGGTTGGCATGAACTCGACTATGAATGCGGATGAGCGCAGCAGGATTAGGGAATATGTGGAGGAAATCGTAGCGGAAATGCTCGGCGGTAATCTCGATCACATCAAAGTCGGCCAATTGTCCAAGAGCGAGAACTGTRAGTAGACTCAACTCAACTCAACTGAATGGCATACGAAATGGGTTTCGCTGGGATTCGCTGGGAATCGCTTAGATTTGATTAGTGCAAATGCAATCTGTCGCAAGTGCAAATTTTCCTCAATTGCTGCAAATTAAAAAAATGAGCAGCTCGCTGTGTATATACATATGCTATATATATAGATCATATATGCGATATATATCTTGCTTGTTGCGAAATTGTACTCAACAGTTCAGAGAGCAGACACAGCTTTTGCATATGCGCATTTATCGTGTAGCCAGATTCAGGGCAACGAACCAAGTCTTTATATCTCGTTCAGAGACAATTTCAGTGCAATTTAGTTATTAAAGTTCGACAGCAACGTAAGTTGCCGGCGCGCCCTAAAGGGCTGAATGAACAGATAACAAGCTCACAAAGGGGTTATCGAAAAACCTCGTATGGCTTTAACAAATAAAATAAAAAAAATTAAAAAAAAAAAAAGTTATTAAAGCTGCGGCAATCGAGTCTATAGATCGGATTGGAAGCACTGAGCACCTAAAAGTATGCAGCAAAATATTTCAGAGAATAAACCAAATTTTTTTGCTGATAATATTGTATATTTTAGCGGATTGTGCTTTGATTGTTATAAAGCCGGATGTAAGTGGAAAAAGTTAAAGCGCATATCGCTGAAAATAATAATGGAATAATTCACAGTGGTCTGTAAAATTATTTTACCAGAAAATAAATTCTGTTTCGTGTGTCATTAAGTAAAATACGGTTTAAATTAATTAAACAATTTTTTGTAGAACAAACAGTTGCAGGGATTTTTCATTTTAATAAGAATATGTTGTATATGTCTTTTATTAGAGCCTTTTGCTTTGCATTTGCAACTTTTCTAACAGCCCACCAATGGGCATTGCATACTTTGCTTAAATGCCTTGCGGTCAGCCAAAGCTTTTAACAAAATTCATTGCATACTTAATGTTAAATTTAATTAAACTTTATATACAAACACATTCACTCACACACCCACACACACACACACACACACACACACACACAAAATGCACTGCATACAGACCTGCAGCTGTTTGATAAATTTCATGCGAAATTAAGCAATATGTTTATCAATGTGGAGAACGCTTTGTGCGCACGTGCCTACAAAGGAGGTAAGTCCTTGCAGGTAACTCACTTCTGGCACTGCCCGAGCAGAATAACTGTAATGCTACTACTACTACCACTGCTATAACTGAGTTCTAATCTCTGCTGTGTAGTGCCTGTTTAACCTGCCCGTATCCAGCATGAATCATGGCTATAATAATAATAATAATAATAAACCTTCGTATCTCTATATTTAGCGCACGTTGTTATCTTTATGCATTTATCTATGTATGTGTGTCTATCCGTACACGTAATATTTGAAAAATTCCGCAGAAATAAACATTTATATATATGTATAGATACCCGTGCGTATACGTAATATTGTAAGAATGTCATAGAAATCAATGAATATATAGAGATGGATTATGCCGCTATCAGTAATTATTGAATACAAACTAAACTCAAATTAAGACACAAAGCAAAAAGCAACGAAAATCGCGGTCAACACTCATTGATAAGAGCAACACACACACACAGACAGACACACACAGGCACACATGTTGTGATAAGGCCAAAGCATATGCAACTGATAAGCAGAAACCTCTTCTCTCTCTTTCTGTCTGACACTCACTGCTTCCCTCTCTCTCGCTCCATTTGAAATACCGACAAGTACACAACACTTTATAAGCATTTAAGAATTGTAGCAACAGTTGGCCTTAACCAGATGACAAGCCGAGATACTCACACATAAATCATACGCAACGTGCGCCGCCATTGCTCACCAACTGGTTTAAGCCAAGAGCCACAGCAACAGCAACAATAACAGCTGCCAATTGACAACTTACACGGCTGGTCGAGTCGCACATTTAACATATTTGCTGAGTGTTTCGTTTACAATTTTTTTTTGTTTTTGTGTTTTTGTGCTTTAAGTTTTTCGTCTGTCCCATCCTTCAAATTACTAAATCAAATACGTTTGTGGAGTGTAATAAGTTAGAGGCACGCTAACACACAATGATTGCATGAAATAAACATGTCAATCACTTCAGAGCTTGAATCGCACAAAAACAAAACTAATATAGACCCGTTTACGGCTACAGGAAACAAACGAGTTTTTCAAAAATTTTGCTAGAATTGTTATGGAAAGCTGTAAATTGATTTTTTAATTTATACGTTGTTTTTTTTTTTCTAAATTCGATTTTAATTGATTCGCCAGTTGGAAGATTTGCAGTTAATTGGAAATTACAATTGCAAACAGTTAGTTTTTCAGTTAATCAATCAGTCACACTGACTGCCTTGCTATATACTAACTGTGGCCATTGGAGCAAAGTCCTTCTAGAACACCGATATTATTGTAAGCTCGTCAATAAATCAGGCATCAGTCAATCAATTAGAAAATCAAAAATCACCTTTATGTACTGTGCAGCTTTACATTCAGTCAATCAATCAATCATCCTTAGTCAACTATTCAGTCAATCAATCAAYTTTAGCAAACAACTTAATACCGATGCCTATAAATTCAATAATTTTAATGCATTCGCTAAATGCCATCGTTAGTTAGTTATTCACTTAATCATTCAGTGAGTCAATCAGTGAGTTTGGAAAAGAATATATTTCTGAAGCTGGAACTTCACATATGTAGATTCCGATTCCGATTTGTTAGAATTCGCATAAATATAAATAACAAATTCAATGAATTCTTCAAGAGCTTTAAATTCTTTCGAGTCTGTTGTAATACAAACTATTAAATTAATGTATACCTATAAGACAATATATGTATAATGTTTCATGGTATAACTTTTCATAGTTTCAGCTCAATGAGAACCGTTCTTAATTCTCATATGGAGTTCGCTCTATGGCGCACAAACCGCGCGAATATCGAAATGCCTCAAATAAACAAAAGCAAACTGTTTGTATGCCATTACATAGCTATCGATGAGTGTGTGAGTGTGCAGGTGCCTGTGTATGTGTGTGTGTGGCGCTGTTAGCTGCGGCTGTCGACTGCTCGCAGCAGTTGCCAGACGCATAGCGCGCCGATCGCAACGTTTTCTTGGCCGCGCGCCGAACAGCCAAAAGCCGGGTGAAAAATGAGCTAAAAGAAAGAAGAAAGAAAGAAAAAGAAAGACAACMAAGTAAAAGCAATAAACATTCATAAAACTAAAGTGTTAATGATAACAAGTAAACTAAAAGAAAAGACGCATAATATAAAATATATGTATATATAAAGCAAGAGTAAATTGTGAATTGTGCAGATAACAGATAACAGAAACGCACAAACACACATACACACATGCATACTCGAACTCTATTAAGAAAGCAGCGTAGCCAACCTTGACCCTGTATATTGAAAATATATATATATTGTATAAAAGTATATAAAAATATGAGCGAAAATCAAAGCTAAATTTGAAACGTGGCCTCAACAAAATAGCAGGAAAAATATTTCGTTGAACGCTAATCAATATTAATGATGGCCTAAAGCGAAGAAGATTATGCGCTAATAATTTATGCCACGACATAAAATATATAATTTATATAAATATACACACAAATATATAGACGTATATATATGTATGTGATTCCGAGCGTAGTTAGCCAAGTGCAAAAAACAAGGCATAAACAAGTTAGGCATTGTTTTTGTTTTTGTTTTTGTTTTTTTTTTATAATGTAAGCTGAACTCTGAACTGAACTTGACTTGTGCACCTTGTACAGCGCACTTAGGCTTTATAAATATATACGTGCACCATATATTATATATATATAGTATAAATTTAGGTATGATCTGTGCCGGTTAAGGTTCAGTTTCGGCTTTGCTTCATTAATGACAGTCGCATATGCAAAGCGAGTCAGATACATTTCAATCTTTGACATTTTGTGCGCAAAACTCAATGACTAACGGCATTCAAGCGATAAACACAAGCAGACACACACACAGAGATACACAGCCACGGTTCACACACAATAGACATGTCAGCGAGGCGTCGAAACGAAGCGATAAAGAAATTTAGTGGCTTTTGTTAAGGCAGAAACAGATAACTGCGTGATTATTAATTATGTTTTAGTGCAAAAAAAAAAAAAAAAAAAAAAAAAAAAAAAAACAGAAACATTAGCGGAAAATGTGAAAGAAGCCGAAGAAGAAAAGGCGAATATTAGTTACAAACAGAGATAGATATATACATATATAATTATATTCAACTGTATTCAAGCGTTTAGCCAAGCTTTAAATATCTATAAATTTTTTGGCCACTGCGGCGTATGCGTAATTTAATTGTTTGTAAAGAATTGTATGCGTGTGTGTGTGTGTGTGTGTGTGTGTGTGTGTGTTTGTTTGTTTATTTGTTGTATTTGCGTTAATTAAAATCGAAACATAAATATTGAAACAGCACAAAAGACAAATAGAAACAAAAAACGAGTGTTAACAAAATAACAATAACAAACAAATGTGACAGTCTATTCATAAATGTGAATTTACTCAATTGACATATAGTATATCTAAATATACAGATATAACTGTCTAGCATGGACTTTACGTTGGGGCTAATAACTGGCATGTATGCTGTGGCAGCTGTTATTGTCTTTTACATTGTTTACGTCATTGAGGTGAAATTAGGTATGCCTTTTACAACAAGCTATCGATCAACAATTACAACAACAACAACTCACTCACTTTCTACACTCACTTTTCCATTCAATTCATGTGTGTTAATTTTATTTACTTTTTTATTTGTAACTTAGATTCTTTTGTGCTAATATTCTTGAACTCACTGAGACATCTTTGTTAACCATTTCGACTGCATTACAGATTTGCCAGCCATTGTCAATGGCCATAACAACAACAACAAGAGCAGCAATAGTAATAGCAACAATAACAACAATGATCAACTGGCTGATATATCTCAGACACGTCTGCGCACTCTCATCGAGAGCATCATTGCGGAAACTCTGCGTAGCGGCAGCAACTCGCTCATGACTCCAACAGGCGCCGTCTCTGAGATTAGTTTGGATACGCGCTCCAATGGGCAGCTATCGGGCTTTCATAATAACAACAATAACAACAACAAGAGACGCCATCGCACCGAACACTATTTCGAGCCAAAAATCTATCAGGATCTATTGGCCACAGCGGTGCTGAATAAGGTAAGGCAATAGAACTTTATACGAAAGTGTAATGGGTAGAGGTAAAAGTATTCAAATGCCAAATTGCGTATCTCCAGACTTATAGTCTTAGAGATATGTATAAAAAAGGTTAACTGAAATGAAACATGAGCACATTTAAAAAGATATTGGAAAAATTAATAGTAAATAATATTTGCGTTTGTTTATCGTACGATAAGGAAACATAACGTAAGCGAAGGTGGTCATGAAAACAAAAGACCTTAAAGATAAGAAAATTATACGGAAAAGCATATAAATCAATTTTCATATTTGTGTTAGGTCGGAAATTCATCAAACTATCCTTGATAAATACTTTGTTATGCCCAGAAACTGTCATCATATCTGAAGTATACAAATTATTAATTTAGGTATTCTAGTAATTTTTTATAAAGTTAAGCACTATTGACTTAAATTTATTGAAAAATTCGAAGGGAAAAATATTGATCGAGGGTTGACTATAATAAAGTAGCAACCCATTTAGGGAGGTAGCAAGAGTGAGTTCTATTAAAGTACCCCTATTCCTTCCTTTCATTTAGTTAACTCCAACCAATCTCATTATGCTTCTGGCTTGGCAGAAAATAGAAAACTACATGACCTGCTGCAACAACTGTTGCATCTGTGGCAGCGACTATCTATATTTGACCTCATCCATTTATAATTCCCATTTTCCGATTTGGTATGTTCGCTATTTCCGCCAACTCGAACCTCGTTTTTGATTTTCACTTTCGTTATGGGCCACACTTTGCTGGCTTCTCCCTAGCCAATTGGAAGGCAACTGCTGCCACAGTTGCATGCCCCACTAATTAGTTGCTGTCCATTGTTGCAAGCGTGCGGACGCCTGAATAGAACTGTTAGACGGTTAAACGGTTAAAGCCAACTCAGTTGCTAATTGGATCATTGACTTTTCCTGCTAGTGAAAAACTCAATTTCGCATTGCCAAAAAATTGCCTTAACTCGATTCTCCTATTGTGGAATTGACCATGGCTGAGTCAGCACAAAATGTAAATATTACAAAAGGAAAAAGAACCCAAATTATCTTTATATATAATTTGAACTGAGTCACATATATTTATATATATGCCATATCTTATCAGCCCATCGTATTTTAAACTGTTTCAACATAGATTTCATAAGCCTTTGATTACGCCTTTTTTATAGTTTTTATATTGCTCAAATCTCAGCAACAGTTTCACTTTTCTGCAGCGTAACGCTTAAATCGATCCAGTTTTTAGGTACACGCATGACGTCACAGGCCTTCTCTATTCAGCATGACGTTTTTCAACACAGTCTCTGGTCTTGCCGGCTGCCTAAGGCTTCCCTTATCTTTGTCAAGTTATTCTAGTTTAAATATGATCTCAACCTTTTCTTTTATAGATTGCGGACAAGGAGGGCAATACCAGGCTTATATCGGAGAGTACGCCGGATTTGAGTGCTCGCAACATTGATGAGAATTACAATGCGGAAGCTTTGAGCACTACGTCTGACAGTTCCATAGAGCCGCGCAGCGATTGCAGCCTAACGGATCATGAACTGGGACTCAATGTAAATACAGACAAATTAAAATTTCTATATATATCTATATATATACCAACTTTTTAGACTGGCAAATCCGAGAAAATTGCTGGCTTGCAGTTGGATTTGGAACGCGAATCGGTTTTGAGTGACTATATAGCTGCTCACATGGTGCCATTGCCTGATTTTTCAGCGTCCGTTACCGAATCAGAAGATGGTAAGTATCCTATCACAAAATTCGTTCCCAACTATATTATAACATTTCCATCTCTTTGGTCATTCATCTCATTCTTTTTAGATATTATGTCAATGACATCGAGCATGGTCGGCGATGGCACCTGGGAGGATAATTGGCTGTTTAAAAAGAAGCGCAGCACCCTGCAAAGTTCGGCCACACCGAGCAGCATTGGGATGCTGGTGCCCGCTCCTAAAGAGAATATTCGTGCTCAGATTGGTGATCGTACGGCCGACGAGGTTAGCGATCTGTCCGAAATCGGTTCCGATGCAGAGGAAACCTCATTGGATTTGTTGCGTTGCGACACTGAGCTGAATGATCGGCTCTTGAGCAAGCATCTAATTGGCGGACAGAACACAAAACTAGTGCTGGATGAGCTAGTGGATCGCACAAGTTTGACCTCAAACACCTTGCCAGCGGAAAATGAACCGGCTTTCACCGAGACCACAAATCCGCTCGTTCAACAGCCCACGAAGACATCGAAGCTGTTGGTACCGCCGCCTCCAACGAGTTTTCAAGATGATGAAGAAGAGGAAACCGAAGATCCAGGCCAGAAACTCATCGCAGGTTAGTGCCTAGCTCTCTTTTATTCGTATCCTCAGTTAATGAACCCATATGCTAACCTAAACACTTAACATACATACATACATATATATAGACTGTATATCCTACCTTAAATTGGATTAGCTTTGGAATCTTAAGCCCTTAGATATTGTACCCATCCACGTAATGTACCTCAGCGTATTTGTGCATAGTTGTCGAGCAGCGGCATTCAGCAGTCGTTTGTGTTCCAGCAGATGACCTCAGCGATCTCAGCGAGGGCATCACAGGCTTCGGTGATGTTGAATATCTAGAGGACAGTCAGTCACAGGAAAATACTCCTTCGGTTATTGAGATACTAGCAGCCATGGCACTGGGACCCATGCTCGCTGTTCCGGCATCTGATCAACCTCCTGTTATGACTGCCACGGAAATTCATACACTCAAGGAGCTGAGTGATCTGGCTCTAGCCGAAATTAACTCCCGCACAATGGAGCTAGCTCAGCACTCTCTGGACATTATTGACGAGGAGGAAGGAGTCACGGAAGCACAATCTACATCTGAAGTTGAAAACTCTCAAACTGTTGCTACTGCCCAAATAATTCAACAGGTCGAAGAAATAATTGAAATTCCCCAGGAACTAGCTACCACCAACGAATCTTCAGTTAAAGGAATATCTAAATTTAAATTTCCCAATGTTGAAAGCTCAGCAGAAACAGAACTAAAATCTAAGCAAATGTCAATGTCTGCACAAGCAATTAATGAAATTGCTAGTGCGATCAATGTACCAGAACCACAACATTTCTCCGATTCAGCTCCACACACAAACAAAGTTAGCGCTTTGATTGGAGTATTTGAAATGCACTCAGCCCCACGAAGGAGTTCGCTTCCCTTAATTGAGAGAGGAACAGCTAAGACTGAGGAAGCTCTAGTACCACCAAAACATAAAATAACTCCAGTAAAACTCAGTGCTACTTCTGCAAAGGTTACTTCAGCAGATCTAAATACTACTACTGGGAAGGTCCCAGCACCTAGTCTGGCTAAAATAGCTGGGGTTCAAATGGAGATTACTCCAGTTGATCTAACTGCTACTGAAGGAAAATCTCCAGCACCAGTAGAGGCTATTATGCCAGCAGATGGAACTATAGTTCCAGATAATATTAGTACAGCTCAATTAACGACTGCTGAGCAAGAGGCTGCAACAGCAACAACAGTGGAAGTTACTCCAGCTGAACTGAGTACAGCTCCAGCGGAACTCACTCCAGCAGAGGTAACTGCTGCTGAAGTAATAGCTCCTGCAGTAACACAAGAGACAGTCTTTCCAGCTGAAGTAATTGCAGCTCCAGAGGAATTTACTCCAGAAAATGTAACTGCTACAGAAGTTACTGTAGTAACTGTAGTTCCAGAGGAAGTTTCTCCAGCAGAAGTAACTCCTACTCCGGAAGAAAGTCTAGAAGAAGTTGCTCCTATAACTGAAATAACCACCGTTACTGAAGAAGTTACTTTAGACGTAGTATCACTAGTAGTAACTACTTCTGAAGAAACATCAGCAGCGTCAACACAAGAAATAGCTCCAGAAGTAGCTGTCACTCCAATTATAGTTTCTGAAGAAGTATCTCCACTAAATGTTACTACAACCCCAGAGGAAGTTACTTCAGCAGAGGATGTTACTCTACCAAATACTAGTACAGACCCAGAGGAAGTTACACCAGTGCAAGTAACTACAGTTGAAGAGATAGTTATTCCACCAGAAGTCCCTGCAGAGGAAGTTCCAATACTGGTAGAGGCTGTAGTTCCAGCAGAAGTATCTACAGCTCCAGAGGAATTTACTCCACCAAATGATACTACAGCCCCAGAGGAAGTTAGTCCAGCCGCAGAAACTAAACCTCCAAAAGAAGTGACGTTACAAAATAATAGTACAAGTCCAGAAGAAATTACTCCAGCAGAAGTATCTACTACTCAAGAAATTATTCCAGTAGAAGTCACTCCTACAGTAGAGGAAATTCCAATACTAGTAGAGGATGTTCCAGCAGAAGTAACTACAGTAACACAGGATGTTACTCCTGCTGAAACTACTTCAAATCCAGAGGAAGTTAACCCAGCAGAAGTACCCACAGCTCGAGAGGACGTTACTCCAGTAGAAATAACTACATTCTCAGAAGAAATTACTCAACAAGAAGTAACCACAGTGCAAGTACAAGAAGTTTCGCCAGAAGAAATATCTAGGATTCCTAGTCCTGTTGAATTTATAGCTACTGAACAAGAAGCTCCAACGCCATCAATAGAGATAGCTGTAACTACAGAAGCATCTACAGTTACAGAGGAAGCTTCTCCCGCAGGAGTAACTACAGTCCTAGATGAGGTTGCTCCAGCAGAAAATACTTCGATTCTAGAGGAAACTTCTCGAGCAAAAGTAACTACAGTTCTAGGCGAAATAATTTCAGCAGAAGTCACTTCTGCAGCAGAGAAAGTTCCAGCCCCAATAGAGGATGTTGTTCCAGCAGATGTAGCTACAGTAACAGACGCAGTTACTCCTGAAACTTCTACAATTCCAGATGAAGTTAATATAGTAGAAGCAACTACAGTAACAGGGGAAGTTACTCCTGCAGAAACGACTTCAATTTCACAGGAAGTTACTCAACCAGCCGCTCCCTTAAATCTAGAGGAAGTTACTCCACCTGAAGTAACTACAGCTCCAGAGGAAACTATTCCAGCAGAAGTCACTACAGTTCCACAGGATGTTACTCCAGCTGAAGAAACTACAACTCCAAAGGAAGTTACTCCAGCAGAAAACAGCACAGTTCCAGAGAAGGTTTCTCCAGCAGAAAATACTTCCATTCAAGAAGAACTTATTCTAGCAGAAGTAACAGCACTTGCAGCTAGTCAAACAGACGCTGCTATAAATCCAGAGGAAATTGCTCCAGCTGAAGTAACTACAGCTTCAGAGGAAACTATTCCAGCAGAAATCAGTACAGTTCCAGAGGAAGTTACTCCGCCTGAAGTAACTACAGCTCCAGAGGAAGTCACTCCACCTGAAGTAACTACAGCTCCAGCGGAAACTTTTTCAGCAGAAGTAACTACAGCTCCAGAGGAAGTTACTCCACCTGAAGTAACTATAGCTCCAGAGGACACTACTCCAGCTGAAGTACCTTCAGCTCCGGAGGAAGTTACTCCACCTGAAGTAACGACAGCTCCAGAGGAAATTACTCAGGCAGAAGTCACTGCAG